AAAATAAAAATAAAAAAATAAATTCTCTGTCTGTGGGCCGGCCTGTGGCTCACTCGGCAGAGTGCGGTGCTGATAACACCAAGGCTCCGGGTTCGGATCCCATATAGGGATGGCCGGTTCGCTCACTGGCTGAGCGTGGTGCTGACAACACCAAGTCAAGGGTTAAGATCCCCTTACTGGTCATCTTTTAAAAAAATAAAAATAAAAAAATAAATTCTCTGTCTGTTCCACCGATTGTTAACATATTACCTTGATTTGATGACAGTGGCATTACAGCACGTTCTAATACTAGGTTAAGCATGGCCCTTCACCATATTTTTTTTCATACTTTTTCTGGTTATTCTTTGGAACTTATTCTTGCATATAAATTTGAAGCTATTCTCATACCAGCCAATGGCCAAAAAATAAAATAAAAAATTAAAAAATGTAAGTTAATTTTCTTCATTTCTCAATAAAACTCAGGATTTTAATTAGAACTTCATTAAATATTTATATTAATTTTGAGGAGAACTGACAGTATTACATCTTCCCACCCAGTTTTTATAACTCTTCAGAGCTTGTTTTCTTTCAATGAGATTTTCATTTTCTTCATCTAAATCAATCGTTTTCAAACCTGGCTGCATATTAAAACTAAATGGGGAGCTTTTAAAAAAAATTGTTAATAGCCTGTAACATTTATTCCTAGGTATTTAATTATAATTTATTCCTAGGTATTTTGTTCTTGCACATTAAAAAATTTTTTGTTTCCATTTCTAGGTATTTATTGTAATGTGGAGAAAAACTACTGATTTTTAAAATCTCTCTCATATTCGGCTTCTGCCAGCTTTTCTTATGAATTCTAGTGATTTATTTATTTATTTATTTTTGGCAGCTGGCTGGTATGGGGATCTGAACCCTTGACTTTGGTGTTGTAACACCATGCTCTAACCAACTGAGCCAGCCCTCTAGTAGATTTCTAGTAGGGTCTATGGGGGTTTTCTAGGCAGATATTTTTTGACATTTCTACCTGCTGTTGTCTTTCTTCTCCTTGTCACTGTGAATTAGTATATTTTTTATCCCTTTATTGTCATTTTGGTGGGGATTAGAAATAAGTACTTGTGTTCAATCTGCTTCTTTTAAAGCAAGTCGCCACATATTCTCTTTTTTTTTTTTTAAAGACGACCAGTAAGGGGATCTTAACGCTGACTTGGTGTTGTCAGCACCACACTCTCCCAAGTGAGCTAAACAGCCATCCCTATATGGGATCCGAACCCATGGCCTTGGTATTATCAGCACCACACTCTCCTGAGTGAGCCACGGGCTGGACCATCCACATATCCTTTTGCAACTTGCTTTTTGCACACAACATTATGCTTTGGGAGGCTCTGCCCCCATTGGCTTGTGTAGATTTAGTATGTAATTTTTAACATCTCTTGACCATTCCACTGTGTAACTAAAACACTGTTTACTAATCCATTACCCTACAGAAGAAGAGTTAGATTTCACTATCACAGTATTACAGCAAATATGCTTGTACATCCTTGTACATGTATATCCTTATACATGTGACAACCTGTCTATCTGGCGGTGGAATTACTGAACTATAGAGACCAGTATTTTCCACTTTACAGATATCATCTCTGTTCTCTTCAAAGCAGTTGTACCAGTTTATACAAGAATACTTCAGAAAGTTCATGGAAAGATTCGTATTACCTTTTAATTCTATTTTCCATGAACTTTTTGAAGTACTCTTGTATTCCTGATAACATTAGCAGGTACCCTTTCCCCACATCCTTACCAACAGCGATTATAAAGCTGTTACATTTTTGCCAATCTGATAGGTGTAAAAGGGTAACTCATCTAATTCGTATGTCTCTGATTCCTAAGTGCGGTTGAGCATCTCTTCATATAATTTGCTATAATTTATTCATACTTTTGCTATGCGGTTATTTGCCTTTTTTTAAATTTACCTATAGGAGTCCTCTACATAGTCAATTACATGTATTACAAATATCTTCCCCAATAAGGGTTCATTTTTTCACTTTGTTTATGGTGTCTCCCATTATATGGAAATTTTTAGTTTGAGTTTAGTCAAATAGATTGTGCCTGGGCGGGCCCGTGGCTCACTCAGGAGAGTGTGGTGCTGATAACACCAAGGCCCCGGGTTCGGATCCCATATAGGGATGGCCGGTTAGCTCACTGGCTGAGCGTGGTGATGACAACACCAAGTCAAGGGTTAAGATCCGCTTACCGGTCATCTTTAAAAAAAAAAAAAAAAAAAAAATAGATCATGCCTTCCTTTATGGTTTCTGCTTTTAAAATCTTGAGATACTCTTCCCTTCATAAAGATAATAAAATATTTTCCCTTTTTTATTTTATACTTTTTTGAGCTCTTTAATCCATCTGTATAATTCATATGTGTATGGTATCAGGTAGGGATCTAATTTTATCTTTCTCCAGCACCAATTATTCAACTGTTCATCCCTTTCCTGTTGATTTATAATGCTACCTATCACACATCAAATTCCCTTATATACTTGGGTCTGTTTCTAAGCATTCTACAAAAGAGTAAAAATAAATAAATAAATAAAGGGCTAAAAGCAAAACACAACAATATGGGGAAATGCTTATGTAACAAATTAAAATAAGGCAGGATTAACCTTGACTATACAACGTAAAAGTCAGTATTAAGATAAATTAAATATTTATAAAGAAAAAAGTCTAACCTAGCTTGTTGTAAGCTGCCTATCCACCCAACACACCATTTTCCCCTTGCTATTCCTTCTAGGCCAGGAGCACATCCCTATAGCTTACAGAAGTTCCATGTGGGTTCAGAAATAAGCTGTGTGAAATTAGAGAGCAGTGGGTTCAGACAGAAAGGACTTCTACTGCCCAGGACTTACCTGAAGTTTTGCTATTTCCTTCCTGATCAGGAAGCTGACTTGGTCCCGGTCATTCCTAGAGTAATAGAGACGGCACCACGAAGGCTTCCCATCCCTGCCGGCCCGGCCAGACTCCTGGTAGTACCCAGCCATACTCTTGGCAATATTCCAGTGGGCGACAAACCTGTAGGATCCAAAGGGACAAGCAGCGTGAGATGTGGCAGAACAGCTGAGTGCCCAGAGGAGGAGTGATCCTGAGTTAGTAGAGCAGGGCTTCCTCCACAGTGACCAGGAGCAGGGAGACCAGCAGAGATGGAGGCAGAGAAAAGATCCCAGAGTAAGCATGGCTAAGACACCTGTAGCCTATCAGCAAATTTCCCCACCATAGGGCAGCCCAGTTTACAGGCCAAAGCAAGAGTTAAAGGGGCAATTCCAGCACATATGGGGAACCTAAAAAAACACACAGCCAGAGGCCCAGTGGAAAAAATGATGGACTTAAAGAAATAAGATTAGGCTCTGCCACTTATGAGCTACACAACCTTGAATAAATCCTTTATAACTACTTTGAAGAGGGAAAGGGATAATATTTATTGAATATGCACTATGAGCTAGTTTATATATTTGTCTCATTTAATTGTTACAGTCACCAACACATGAAGTAGGCCATTCTACAGATGATGAACCTGAGATTCATATAGGTAATTCTGTACAAAGTCACACAGTGAGGGACAACAGGACTAGCATTTGAGGTTAAGGGTAATTTACTTCAAAGCTGGCTCCTAATAAGACATAGCAGACCCAGGGTTCAAACTCTGATTCCAAAGTCTGTGTTCTTTCAACTAATTCCATCCTGACTAACTCAAGGTCACTGAGAGGTTCAAAAAGACCATGTACAGGAAAGTGCTTGTACAAGGCATTATTATTTGGTGTTAATCACAGCAAAGAGCTTGAGCTATAGCCCAAAATGTTTCTCAAAGGTCAAGCCATGGCTAGAGGTAAAAGACTTCCCAATAGTTGCCAGTGTGGGGTCAGGAGGCTGGGATGCACCCTGACTCTTACAGACTGTCAGTAAGCAGTAACAAGGAGTGATGGTAATAAGATCTTGGCCTTTGGCTTACCACAGGGAGCAGTTTAAAATATTTAGCCCCCTCACAGGGTCCACCTGCTAAGGAGATACAAGGGAACAGGGCTGTGTTAACGGACAGCCTGACACTCTGCATGCTGCCCCCTTTCCCAGGGGATGGCAGAACTGTGCTGTGCCTCACAGAAACTGTCAGTATTCAGGCTGGGTACTAGGGACTCTCTCCTGGAGCCTCCTTCCTCTCTGACCCTAGAAGGAGCACCTGGCCCTAATAAAATAAAATATTTAGCCCCCTCACAGGGTCCACCTGCTAAGGAGATACAAGGGAACAGGGCTGTGTTAACGGACAGCCTGACACTCTGCATGCTGCCCCCTTTCCCAGGGGATGGCAGAACTGTGCTGTGCCTCACAGAAACTGTCAGTATTCAGGCTGGGTACTAGGGACTCTCTCCTGGAGCCTCCTTCCTCTCTGACCCTAGAAGGAGCACCTGGCCCTGGTCCTCCAGACAGAGCACTCAGCAGCCCACCCTGAGTCAGCCCCAGACCTGGAAGGCAAGGCAAGAACATTCAGGCTGGGTACTAGGGACTCTCTCCTGGAGCCTCCTTCCTCTCTGACCCTAGAAGGAGCACCTGGCCCTGGTCCCCCAGACAGAGCACTCAGCAGCCCACCCTGAGTCAGCCCCAGACCTGGAAGGCAAGGCAAGAACCACAGCTTACCTGACATTGGCTTTATCCACTCCCATCCCAAAACTAATGGTTGCAACAATCACAGGGACCTTCTCCTCCATCCACTCATTCTGCACCAGCGTTCTTTCAGAAGCCTTCAGCCCTGTAAAGGAGGAAAAGATGGAGAAGAGAACTCACATTTCCCTTGGGTCTACCTTGGGGTCAATCTTGGGTTTTACACTATGCTGGGCACTTTACACGCACCCTGAATCTATCACTTTCCATCTGGATGACCTTGGGCCAAGCACTTAACCTCACTGAGCCTCAACTAATAAACATAAAGACCTTAGCCCATGTGTGGCCCAGAGCACTCAATAAATGTTAGGGCCACGATTCAAACCCAAGTCCAAAGCCAAGTCCTCCAAAGACTGTGCACTTTCTACAACACCAATATCTGGGCTTATAAAAACTTGTTGCCTGATGCTGGGTGGGCACAGGGTGAGAAAAAGAACCCAAGAGTCACAATTCTCGTTTTAGACCTCATTTTTGTCTAGACTCCTTTTAGTGGAATTATGTGAATCACTTTACACTGGGTATCTGGAAAAAGATAATGGACCATCTGATTATCCAGGGTCTGTAAGGAACAAGAGAACCACTAAAAGGCCTCTAAGAGTGAAGGAACACATGTTCTGGGTGCCCCTTACCTGCATGGTAAGCCTTGGCGTTCACACCCCTGCAAGTGAGCTCTATTGCCAGCTGTTCACAAGCCTCTCTAGTCCTGCAATAGATAATGCCGCAGCCAGACAACTGTATGGGGAGATAAAGGAAGAAAACAAGCAATGAGAACAGAACAATCAGCTGTGTGCTCTTTCTCTCATTGGCTTTACAGTCTCCTCTGAGGCAGGACACATAGCAGGGCTCTGCCACTTTATAAAAAGCAGGACCAAAGCAGCTCAAAACCCAACCTGCTGGTCTGCAAAGCCCTCATACAGAGGGGCCAGCTGCTTGCCTTCAAAAGAAGGATCTGGGATAAGGGAACCCCAATAAGAGGAACAATGCCAGGAAACCAAAGGGACAGCTATCTTTGTGCATGAGTTTTAAGAAGACTGGCTAAGAAAGCTAGAAAAAGTAAAGGTCTTAGAAAACCAAAATACATTTCTATCCTGCAGATAGCACCCCAGTGCTCCAGATGTTTCTTGGCCCCCCAACTTCAGTGCCTCACCCCTTTATCAGCCTTCTGCCCAAGAGCCTTAAAGCAGAAGTCCCTCAGGTTCCCAAAGAGATCAGAAATAAGCTCTTTGAACTGCACATCATAGAAGAGGTTGGGCCGGAAGCAGGGAGTCTTGAAGGTGGCAACTGGTTGCTTCAGGTGCAGGGCAACAAACACATCTTCTTGGACCTGCAGGGTGGCAGTGGCAGTCAGAGCCACACATGGGGCATGTGCCAGGCGGGAGCGCAGGGCACCCAGACGCAAGTAGTCAGGACGGAAGTCGTGTCCCCACTGGGAAATACAATGAGCTTCATCCACCACCAAGTAAGAGAGCAGGTGGCGAGACACCAGGGAGTTCAGGACAGGCTGGAAGGAGGCTGATGCTGCCATCTCTGGGGTGATGTACAGAAGTTTGGTCCGGGGCTTTTCTTGCTCCAGGTCAGAGAGCAGCTCCTTCCTCTCCTGCGCTGAGAGCTTTGAGTTTAGGGAACTCACTTGTACCTTCAGGGCCAGCAAGTGATCCACTTGGTCCTGCAGACAGAAGGGGATGAGGCCACAGAGGGGAGTATGTTCAGTGGTAAATGTCACTGAAACTCCCTGGAGGATTTCCCAATCATAAAACGTTCTCCTCCCACCCTCCAATATGTTTTCTTTTTGAACAGTACAGAAGGTGAAGTGGTTGAGAGGACAGCTCTGGAGTCAAACAGACCTGGATTTAATCCTGGCTTACTTAATTGACACATGCTCTTTGACTGTTTCTTAACCTCTGAGACTGTTTTCTCTCTCTTTCTCTTATGAAAACAGTAACTAATAGGATTGTTATAAGAACTAAATGAAATTTTACATTTCAAAGGTGAAATTAATGTATATAAAGCACTTAGCACAAAGCCTGAGACCTAGTGAACATTCACTAAGTATTATTGTTGTTCCCCATCTCTCTCCCTTTCTTCATGGTGAATGGCTTTTAACCACATGGTCATGCTTTCTCAATTCTGAATCTATTAGCCCATCTGCAAGCCTTAAATATAGCCAGAACATCTGCAGAGCCAGTGTGAACAAGGTCCCAGCCAGTTTCTCATCTTTTTTTCTGTCTCTCATACCTGTGTCCTTGTAAGAATAAAGCAGAACACCACGAATCCCCCATATCAATTTAGCTATCTACTCATCTGCACCTTCTATCCCAATATCATAAGTGTACATGTGAGAGTGAGTATGTATGCACAGGTATAGTTTCACAATTTCCAGGACAAAAAATAACAAAGGAGAGTGAGAGACCTCAGGCCATTAAAACACAGAGGACTCATTGCTAACCTGCCAGAGTGATCTGCACTAGCAGAGAACCTCACATTTGAGCAATTCAGAAACTCAACACAGAGAATGATTGTCAAATCAGAGAAAATAAGAGTCAAAAGGCAAAAAAAAAGAAGTGAAATTTCCAGCTATAAAAAACCTTCCCCAATCCTTTTGGGCTACTGTCTTCATTCCCCTAAGCCTCACCTGAATCAAAGCAATGAGAGGAGAAACTACAATGGTGATGCCTTTGGCCAACAGGGCAGGGAGCTGATAGCAGAGGGATTTTCCTGCCCCTGTGGGCATGCACACAAAGACATCCTTGTCACCTACAAAAATACAAGAAGAAAACATCTCAATGCTTCCTGCCTTTTCATCAAGGTTGTTGAAAATTAAATGAGAATGTAGGGAAGACATCTAGCAGAATGCCTGGCACATGGGAGAGTCTCAATATAACATTCTTTTCTTGTCCTTTCTCTGAAAACGGCAGGGATCTCAGGAGATGTGGAAATGTGCACACAAAGCATTTCCAGAAATGGTAAAAACCACAAGGGTAAGAAATCCAAGTCTTCTGGGATATGAATGATTAAACAGCCATGAAAGCAGAATACCCCAGGATGAGTGGGCATATCTGTGTAAACGTGGAAGGACATCAATCTTTTGTTCATAAAGCTATCATTGATATTGCACTGCTGCCGCCCCCCCCCCCCTTTTTTTAAGATGACTGGTAAGGGGATCTCAACCCTTGGCTTGGTGTTGTCAGCACCACGCTCAGCCGGTGAGCCAACCGGCCATCCCTATATGGGATCTGAACCTGTGGCCTTGGTATTACCCGAGTGAGCCACGGGCCGGCCCTGCTGCCCCTCTCTTGACAACCTCCATTTGTCACTATGTCTCAGGTTTACAATATTATTACCCCTTCCTTCCCTATCTGGGCCCAGGCCACTCAGTCTTCAACAAGGGGGCTACCTCGGTCAGTGACTGGGTTAGGTTATTCCAGCCACCCTCACTACTGCCTACACACAAATGAACGTGTATGGGAATCTAGGAACTGTTTTCAAAGACAGTCTGTAGCTATGGCTCTGAGATGTAAGAACCAGGCAGCTGGGCGGTTCTGCCATTAAAACTGCGAGCTTTGGGCGACAAGTCTAAAAGATTTCCAAAACCAGTATGGACCAAGTGGGGTGAGGTAGGAAGGCTCGGGGGGAGTGTTCCGCTACAGTGCTATGGTACAGCCAGCACAAATTTAAACGTAGGTAGCTTGATAATGTTACCTTTCACTACAGCCATGGTCGCACTCTCCTGTAAAGGTGTCTTAAAAGAATCAAACCCAAAGACCTTCTTCAACGTGCGCCGGACTCGCAGCTCAGGGTCAGGAGGAAAGGAGGAAGGGCGGGTGCTCATCTTAGCGAAAAACGGGAGCCAAAGGTTAAGGCAAAGGTGGTGAAAGGTTGCCACGAGAACCCTCTGTTCTGCTTTAAAAATAGTTTATTTTTCTCTGTGAGTATAAATTCCCTATATTACACCTAAGTAATAAAGTTGCAGGTGAACAGTCTCAAGCAATACATTCGTGGGTAGTTAACATCTCCACTTTCAGGCTCAGTGAAAATAAAAACACTGAACCATCCCAGGCTACGGTATAGCACAGAGCTAGAAATCAGATCACTAAAAGAAACATAAACGTCTTCGGAACAGTTTGGAGAACGTGGGCTCGTTTTTCTAAGAGCCACCTTCTGCTCCTTCTATAGCGCAGCTACGACCATTCTTTGCCCCCAGGACCCTGACTCTCTCTCTCTTCTTCCTCCGAGCACCAGATCCACAATTTTCTCCCTTTCCCGGCCGAAGCCTCCCTCTCTTCACCCCAAGATATCAGAGCCGGCCATGGGCCGCCCAGAAACGCAAGGCTCTTGCCGCGCCGCTGCTGCCGGCTGGCTCAGAAACTACTCGAAGACCCTTACACCCTACGACCAGCGTTGAGAGGCCAAATCGCTGGGAACTCGTCAGGGAAAAGCCACACAACCTTATATCCGTCGCGCAGTGATGACGTTCAGGAGCGCTGGCATCAGGGGAGGGGCCAGGCGCAGAAACGAGCATTTGATTGGTTTCCGGTGTGGCGCTGCGCCTCATGGGTCCCGGAAGAACTTGCCTTTCCGCACGGAAGTCGGCTTCTTAGAGTCATAGGAGTGAGCCATGCTAGAGCTATGACAATAAGATGGCGGCGAGGAAGAACGTTCTGTCGTCTCTGGCAGTTTACGCGGAAGATTCAGAGCCTGAGTCTGACGGCGAGGCTGGGGTTGAAGCGGTGGGCAGCGCGGCTGGTGAGGCCCGAGTGGGAAGCGGGAAGGGGGAATCGGGTGTCTGCCGGCATGCTGCTCCCCCGGCGGGGCGGGAGGGAAAAGGTGGTCATTGTGTCCCAGGCGATAGGTGTCCGGGGTGGGATAGAGCATTAGAGGCCCTGTAGTCAGAATGAACCGTCTCCTTTCCATTGTTTTCAATATTTTGCCGAAACTTACTGAATATCATCTTGCCGGTCATCGTGCTGGGCAGAGGGATGGACCCGAAGGGGGAGAGGTATCCAAGGCTGGGAATCCCACCGGGCTTCTATTTTGGTGGGGGAGAAGCGATGAGTAAAATATAGGTGGAGGGTGATAAAAGTCGTGTATGGTTAAATTTATGCTTTTTAAGTAGGAGTGTGCCCTAAATGCATGTAGGAGTTTCAAAAAATACATATATCTGGTCCCTAAAGTGAGAGAGGAATTCTGTAGATCCGGGGTAGGAGCTGGACACTTGTGAGCTGTGTTAAGTCTCCTGGGTGATTCTGTTACTTTGTGAGTTTTCAAAGCTTCTCCGTGATTTCGTTGCCCTCCTTAGGTTTAGAATCACAATGTGAGAGAATGGGAAGAGGTTTCTTCGGGAGAATAGAGAGAGGCAAGTTATGTAACATCTGGGCCTCGGTTTTATCACCTGGAAAGTGAGGGGGGTTAGATTAGACTAGCTACTCTAACATTTTGTGGTTTTGTGTGGTCTCTTCAGTCAGGAGGTTTACTGGTGGTTTCCCTGTAATATGTAGTGTTTTTGTTTGTTTTGTTTTAAATGTGGGAAAAAAATTTATTTTTTACTAAAGTTAAAAAGTAAAGTTCCTGCCCCTAGGGAGGACTACAAAAATGAGAAAGACAGTCCCAGTCTTGTATGAGAAGACAAATTCACAGGTGCCTATGATACAAGGTAGAGATATGCATGTCAAAAGAGGTGTTCAAGCAACGTGCCATAGTAGTTTAGGGAAGGAAAGGCTTCCCAAAGGCAGAATCTGGGCCTGTGATTACTTACGTGAGGTTTAGGTTCTTCTTTTATCTTTAGAGCTAGTCCTGGCTACACAAGTCACTGGAAAGTTTTCTTACATTTTTTTTTCCCCATTCATTTTTTTCCCCCCTCTGTTCAGAGGAGAAAGGCGGATTGGTATCTGACGCCTATGGAAAAGATGACTTTACTCACCTAGGGGGTGATGAAGACGGTTATGAAGAAGAAGAGGACGAGAACAGCAAGCAATCGGTAGGTAAATCTCCCAAATCCAGAGCTGCTCAAAGCACCGTTTCATTTATCAGAAACTTTCTGAACTGTGCCACCAGTATTTCATTCCATGGCTAGCTTCATCCTCCCCTCCCCCCATTTGTTTGGTATCCATTGAAGAATCTAGGTTAGATATCAATAGTTCTGTTTGAAAATCAAATTTGTTTTCACCTGGACCAATTTGTAGTAATGTTTGAATGGAAATTTTGAGGGAGAAGATAGTGCATTATTTTATTTAACCCAGGTATCAATGGATGTTTTATGTTGGTTTTCTCTGTTTAAATAATTTATTCCATTTGTAACAGTGCGTTTATCGTAATTGGTGTATCGTTTATTTCTGCAATCAACTCTGTGTTATTTTTAATCTTGGTTGGGGCTCATTTAAGTTTTCAAGCTATTAACAAGATGAGGAAGGAAAATTATTTTCACCCATTTTGATCCTTTTTAACCTTTTTGACATTTTACTTAGCCCTTTTTATCAGGGTGCACTTGGTTCTTGATCACAAATCTTGCCTGAAGTTTAGTAGTTGCTGTCTGACAAAGGGGAACTTACATCTTTATTAACAAGAAAGACTTTAGATACACAATCACCTGAGTAGCATGAACCAGAACTTAAAAGTCTGGAGAAAAAGCAAGGAAATTCAAGCTGGTGCTTAGCACAAAGACATACAAAGTCGAAAATGGATATCGAATCTATTTAGCAAGTTTTTTTTTTTCCTTTTTGTCTTTTTTCGTGACCGGTAATGGGATCGCAACCCTCAGTGTCGCGCCCGCACCGCGACTGGCAACGGGATCGCAACCCTCAGTGTCGCACCCGCACCACGCTCAACCAGTGAGCGGACCGGTCTCTATATGGGATCCGAACCCTCGGCGGGAGCGCCGCCACACTCCCAAGCGCCGCACTCTACCGAGTGCGCCACCGGGCCAGCCCTAGCAAGTTTTAATTGAAATACATTGTACTCTCTTATTTGTTTGAAAATTTTGTTAGGCGTTGATACGTTAGCATTAAATTTAAATTTAATGTTAGCATTAAAATGCTTTCCTGGGGTTGGCCAGTTAGCTCAGTTGGTTAGAGTGCAGTGTTAATAATATCAAGGTCAAGGGTTTGGATCCCCATATCAGCCAGATGCCAAAAAAATTAACTAAAAAATAAATAAATAATTATTTTGAAAAATGCTTTCCTGATTAAACAGGTGTTTTGTACATTATGCTTTTTGGGATATATTTTTGTGTATTTAGCCCCACCCAGTAATGCTGACAATTCAGAGTTGACTGAAATTGTTTAGAAAAGCTTTGCAAGTTGTTTTCTTTTCCTGACTTTTCTCAAATACATACATACATACTGGCTTATTATCCATGAGTCTTTTCTCTAATACATCTGCATAATGTGTTTTTGAAATGTTGTTCCATATTTGCTTTGTTCATATTTTAGTAAAATCCTCTCATCAAATTCCCATATAGACATTGTGAAACGTGATTGTATTCGGCTGATCTCCGTCTCTGATTATTTGGCCTGCTTGATTTCATTTTAAGGAGATTATGGAGATTGCATTCAAAGACTTTTACTCACTGGCACCTTACAGGACAGTTAAGTCTCAAAACCATCAGTATAGTCTGTCGAAGTCTCTCAGTTGGAGTTTGTACTAACATCTGGGAGTGTTGTGCAATGTTTGGGTTAAAGTGTAGCTTCGTAGAAAATAACGGTTTCAAATGAAACGTTATTTTCCTGGGTGTTTAGTTAAAGGCTTTGGTGCATTGGGAGTGTTCTGGGCGGTGGAAGCAACATGGATTTAGCTAGCTAATATTGTAGCTGTCCAACATCTGCTCCTGATCTTTCACTTCATAGCATTATTATTATTTAGCATTCAGTGGAATGGTGGGCTCACTTTGGGGAATGCCCTAACCATATGGTGCTTTGTGTCAAGTGGGCCTCATTTGGATAAGGAACAAGGCTGTGTTGATTGGGTCAATGGCAGTTCCGTGAGTGGGTGGAGGCAGAGCCCACTCAACTGGGACCCAGGAAAGACTGGGCATTGGCCTTTAGTCCTGCCTTTTCCAGGTCACTTGCTCTAGTCATTTGTTGCCCACCTTCCTGCGTTCATGTTAGTGCAAATGCTATTGGATTGAGGTGCTGAGGGATAGTTTTGTGTGTGTCACGGCACTTTGATTTTGAATGATGTTGTGGTAGGTCTGAGTCTGATGTATTTGTGTATATGAAAGGCAAAGGGAAAAAATGGTTTATAATCCTGGTTTTAAATAATTGACATTTTAATGGAAACAGTAGCCTGTTTTTAGGCATTGTGGCCTGGTCTTATTCTTTTCTGAAGCATATTGCAACCTTTCTCCACTTTTATGTATGTGATTTTTTTTTTTTAAAGATGACCGGTAAGGGAATCTTAACCCTTGACTTGGTGTTGTCAGCACCACGCTCTCCCAAGTGAGCTAACCGGCCATTCCTATATAGGGATCCGAACCCATGGCCTTGGTGTTATCAGCACCACACTCTCCCAAGTGAGCCATGGGCCGGCCCCTATGTATATGATTTTTTTTTTTTTTAAAAAAGATGACCTAGGCCGGCCCGTGGCTCACTTGGTAGAGTGCGGTGCTGATAACACCAAGGCCACGGGTTCGGATCCTATATAGGGATGGCCGGTTT